CCTACTCCTCCTCCTCCTCCTCCTCTTCCTCCTCTTTCTGCTCCTCCTCCTCCTGCTCCTCCTCCTCCTTCTCCTCCTCCTCCTCCTCCTCCTCCTCGTAGTCCCCGTCCTCGCGGCCTCCCGCGCCTCCAAGCGCGCCACGGCCGCGAGGGCCCGCCGCCGCTCGGCCGCCTCGCTTAGGTCGGGCGTGTCCCCCTGACAGGCAGATTTTGGACGAAAATTCAAAAGATGGTCAACAAAATAAATAGTAGTCAAAAAATAGTCCCCAGATTAATTGCTGAATGCTTTTGCATTTACCCCTTGTAGAAAAAAGAACATGCCCGACTTACGCCTCGCTCTCCGCCGCCCTCGCCGCGGCGCGCTCGGCCAGGCGGGCGTCCCGCGAGCCCTGCGCCTCGGCGCGCCTCCGCTCGCGCTCGCGCTCCTGAAGCGACGCGGCGGCCTGCCTCTCGCGGGCCTGCGCAGGGCCCATCTGCCCGTGGCACCACCACCTCTCAAGGGCCTGTGCAGGAGGCCCCAAAAGGCTCCCAAGAGGCCCCCCGGATGCCCCCAAAAGGCTCCCAAGAGACCCACAAGAGGCCCCCCACGAGGCCCCCCACGAGGCACCCAAGACTCCCCAAGAGGCCTCGGCGAGAATGCCCAAAGCATTGATTCTACATTGGTTGGGGGCACTAATCAAGATGGCTCCAAGGGCGCCTGGAAGCGCCCAAAATGACCTCCGGGCGTGGGACCCTGCCATTGCTCACGGTGGGCCTCTTTGTTGTTCCCTCCACGGCAGCACCCTCTGCCCTCGGTGCGCCCTCTGGGTCGCGGGCACCACAGCAGGGCGGACGCCGAGCCTCGCAGGACCCGCACCACTGTGGAGGGGCCTCGCGGCGGGGGGGCACAGAGGACGAACACGGCACAACCACTCCCCCCCTGATGGTTGCAAGACGATGGGGGATCGGGGCGCATGCGCCCTCGTGGTCGAGGCCAGACGGGCCTGTCCAGGCGCGGTGGTGGTGCAAGGGCGCCTTCTGCGGAAGGGCCTTCTTCGCGAACGCCTCCAGCTTCGCCTTTGCAAGCTTCGCCGTGGGCGGCGCCTTCGACTGCTGCTTCGGCACCCTCGTGGCGCCCTGCCAGGGGGGGGGAGGTCTGCTCGGGCCTGAGCCGAGGTCTGCGCAGGCAATGGCACGGTGAAGATGGACAAAGGAGGATAAGAGATGGAGATACAGAGAGAGAGAGAGAGAAAGAGAGCGAGAGAGAGGAAGGTGGGAGGCAGTGAAACATACATACACCCATACGTATACGCATACATATGTGTACAGTAAGAGAGGGAAAGAGAAATCGAGAGAGAGAGAGGGAGGGATAACACCAGAGAGAATGAGAGGGAACGAGAGTGCTACCATACTACCAGTTTCAGACATATGTATTATCACAAAGAGAGCGAGAGCTGTGCATATACATAGAGAGAGAGAGAGCGCGGAACAAAGGAATAAAGAGAGAGAGAGAAAGGTAACACGATACTAAGAGAGAAAGGGATGACGAAATACATACATAAAGAACCAGAGAGAGAGAGAGAGAGAGACAGGGTGAAGGATATGGAAGGAGGAAGACAGCGAGAGATGGAGAGAGATAGAGAGAGAAGGACACACAAGTTTAGCCCGAACTGCCTATGGCGACCACGTAGGTCGAGAGACTCGGCGGGGGGAATCCGACTGCATGCGTACCGCAAATTTGTGCCGCGGAGCGGCTGGGATGCAGAGAGAAAGGAGAGAAGATGAGGCGAGAAGGCAAGGATGGGACCCACTGCTGTGCTCCCTGCGCGTTCTCTCCAAGGGTCCGCCCGCTTCTGGGGGACGCCCGCGCGGCAACCCGAGGAGGGCGCGGGGTCCGCTCTCCAAGGGGGGGGAGGAGGACACCTTCAACGGAGCCCTGCACAGAGATGCCTTTTTGCCGTGTGGGGCCAGCGGTGGAGCAGACGACGGAACTGACTACAGTCGTGCAGTGCCTGTTTGGTGTGTAGGGGAGGGGGGAGGAGGGTGAAGAGGCGGCCTGGGAGTGACAGGTCGATGGAGAAGGAGGAGGAGGAGGAGGAGGAGGAGGAGGAGGAGGAGGAGAGGAGAGAGGAGGAGAGAGGAGGAGAGAGGAGGAGGAGGAGGAGGAGGAGGAGGAGGAGGAGGAGGGGGGGGAGGAGGAGGAGGAGGAGGAGGAGGAGGAGGAGGAGAAGGAGGAGGAGGAGGAGGAGGAGGAGGAGGAGGAGGAGGAGGAGGAGGAGGAGGAGGAGGAGGTGGGGGAGGAGGAGGAGGAGGAGGAGGAGGAGGAGGAGGAGGACAGGGAGAGGAGGAGAGAGAGAGAGAGAGAGAGAGAGAGAGGAGGGAGGAGGAGGAGGAGGAGGAGGAGGAGGAGGAGGAGGAGAGGAGGAGGAGGAGGAGGAGGAGGAGGAGGAGGAGGAGGAGGAGGAGGAGGAGGAGGAGGGGGAGGGGGGAGGAGGAGGAGGAGGAGGAGGAGGAGGAGGAGGAGGAGGAGGAGGAGGAGGAGGAGGAGGAGGAGGAGGAGGAGGGGGAGGGGGAGGAGAGAGGAGGAAGGAGACGGAGGAAGACGGCGGAATGGCGTGGGAAAGCAGCGGAAGACGCGGGGGAGGCGGAGGAGCAAGAGGACGACCAGAGTACACCCAATACGCATCAGCGGTGTTGCAATACGCCCTCCCGCCAAGTTCCGTTTTCATAAATCCTACACATTGGTTTCGCATCACTGTGGGAAATTCCCCGTTGGAAAACCACTGTCTAAGAATCCCCAACCGTGCCAAAACACCACGACTCGGGCATCGACGCTACGAATCTGCGTGATGGCTGCGCCCTGACGATCCTGCATCGCAACAGCACGCCACTTCTGTGATCCCCACACAAAAACTCAACGTGACTGCTGCGCCCTGACAGTCCCCAAGCCGTGCCGGAACACCAGTCCTGATCTGTCAACTGTGAGAACTCGCCATCGCTCGGACGTCCCTTCCCCGTGCATTTGTCGATTTCGTGCGTGTGTATTTCGCTCAATGATCAAAGATGCTCCTCGATGGTCCTCGCCGAAGGAAAAATGCACACGTCCGAGCGATGCCAAGAGAATGATAGCAACGGCTGCGAACTTTCGAAAAAAAGACTATGCGCGGCCCTCGGGCGGCAGAACCGCAATTTGAAGACACCCCCCCTCCATCCGTGCGCTTGCAAACGCTGAAAACGAACATATCGCGGCACGGAGGCGAGAACCGCACACTGAAAACAACCCCCTCCGTGGAAAACTCCTGCAGGCATCGAAGACGAGTCTGCGCGGCACTGAGAAGGCAAGAGCCACACCTTGGAAACAGGGCGCCACTCGTAGCTCAGGAATATCAGGAGGAGGAGGAGGAGGGGGAGGTGGAGGAGCGAGGAGCGAGACACGAGGAGCAGGAGGAGGCGCAGGAGGAGGAGGAGGAAGAGGAGGGGGAGGAGGGGGAGGAGGAGGAGGAGGAGAAGGAGGAGGAGGAGGAGGAGGAGGAGGAGGAGGAGGAGGAGGGATGGAGGAGGGGGAGGGAGGAGGAGGAGGGGAGGAGGAGGAGGAGGGAGGAGGAGGAGGAGGGGGAGGAGGGGGGGAACCACTCCCCTCCATCCGTGGAACTGGCGCGACCTTCTACGACGAAGTGTGCGCGCGGACGCGGAAAGCGAGCACCACCTCTTGAGAGCGGCCCGCCCTCCGTCCGTGAGCCATTTGCAAAGTTTGAGCACGAATGAGCGCGGCCCCACGTCGGGAGCACCACTTGAAAAACGACCCGCCCTCCACTGAGCGAGCAACGACATATGTACATGTACGCCCTCCGCGATCTTGAGTGCACGAACGTCCTCGTTCAAATGCCCTCCAGGGGAAACTAACCGCGTACGTGTACATATGTTGCTGGCCTCTGATCCACCCTCTCGGACGCCTGCAGGCCTTGGAGGATCGTGTGCGCGGCGCTATTGCGCGAATAGCACTTTGAGACCGACCCGCCCTCCATCCGTGAAACTCAGGCCAACGTTTAAGACGAATGTGCGCGGCGCTGAGGCGAGAACCACACACTGAAAACGAACCGCCCTCCATCCATGAAGCTGCTGCGAAGCTCAAGCGCCAACACCATGAATGGCGAAAAGAACTCACCTGCGAAACGCCCGGCCCGCTCCACCGACACATCCCAGGGAGGCGACGAAGCAGAGCTATTCACAAGGAAACGGAACGGAGGGACAGTATAGGGGGAAAACGAACCTACCTCGCTTTTGACCACCCTCGCTTCCAAGAGATACCAAACGATGCCAAACTACGGCCTGTACTGGTCAGGCCGCTTGACGAGGAGGCGCGTGGTATGACTTGGTTTTGCCTGGAAGCGAACGCGGGGTAGGTAATTCACGCTCCGACACTAGGCGGAAGAGGAAGAGGAGAGCGAGGCCGGGCACGGCAAGTTCGCGTCGTGCCGACCCAGGCGCTGGCTCCTGACACCGCGGAGATCGCGTTCAAACTTGAATCGGGTCGGGCGAAAGGGGGGGATAGCAAAGGGGGGGGGTGAGAATCAGCTCACGTAGCTCATGATCCCGGCGCCCCCCGGCGCCGGAGGCGGCTATGTATCGAGGAATGGGCCCCTCGGTGGGGCCGACACCAGCTGCATGCAGCACTTTAACCCCCCCCTTCCCGATCAACCCCCCTTTCGTCCGGCCCGATGGAGCGATCGGCCCCTTCAGAAACGCCGGATCGCTCCGGCAGGGGCCGACTCCCTGGGCCACATGGCGGCGCTCGACCCCACACGCCCGCGCTCGGGCCTCCGCCGGCCGACCCGCCGCGAACCTGCCGCAGGAGGACGCGGGGGGCAGGGGAAGAGAGCGAGGAGCGGCCCTCAAACGGGGACTCCACTGACAGGTGCTTTGCCCAGTGACCCAGCGAACCCAACCCTTCCCGAGGCGGGCAACGACGCTGCATTGCCAGAAAGAGGCCCTAAAGTGGCAGCTTTCGGCAAAATTGCAAAGTACCCGTTAGTAAGTACCCGTTACGGTGCCGTTGAACGAGGACGGCCTTCGCGTGCACCGCCCCACTCCTCACGCCGCCGCCCGGGGCCGCGCTGGGGTCCATGCCGGCGGCGCCGCCACGCTGACGGCCTCGCCAGGCTGGGGAGGGGGTGGGGGAGGGGCCAGGGCTCGAGCGAACCAGTGGTTTCCGTTTTCGCGTCGTGTTCGTTCCCTTTTCGCTCTGTCTTCGTTCCGCCGTTGCTGCAAAACGAAATCAAAACGAAAACGGTCCACGAAATCACCAACACACCGTTTAGCTCGGGCCCTGGGAGGGGTGTGGGAAGGGGAGGGGGGCGAGGAAGGATTTCCAGGACGCCCGCGAACAGGCCAAGTTGGGTCAGAGGCCGAACCACGCTGACGCTTTGGCTGGAAGCTTGGAAGGCCCACTGGCCTTTGACGCGTCTGCGGCCGGCCTGAGACGTAAGTTGTGCTTCCCTCTCTCTGGTGATCCAGGGGGCGCCCTACAGCAACGACGTCGTCTTAAGGAGGGTCGATGCTCGGACTGTTATTTTCTCGTCGCGCCGCTATGCATGGGTCTCCCCACACGCGCACGTTCCAAGCTGCTCGGAAACGAAACGAAACCGATACCCGATTCCAGAGGCTTCCACTTGAGGTCCAAGACGGCTTCCAGAATTCCCCAGGAGGCCCCTGTCAAGCTTCTGGAGGCGCACAAACGTGAATCTCCATCCTCGATCTCACGACGATGCCACCGACCGCCAGACGACGACGACGACGACGACGGACATCGACGGAAGATGGCCGACGACGGAGGACGGAGCATGGACGGACGGACTGAGGACAGTCGCCGACGTCTATGACAAAAGGAGGGGACGGCGATTCCAATGCCCAACGTTACTTGGCATCCGGCTGGTACCAACGTTTGGCGCCCAACTCGGAGATGCACGACTGGGAGGCGTCCATCCTCGATAGGGGTGCGTCAGAACAGCCCCCCTAGACATGCATCCCCGAGCTTCATTCTTGGTCATGATCGGCCAGCTCTTTTGGGGGCGGCTCGTGTCTGCAGAGTCGTTCGCCGTGGGCAGGCCTCTGTGAGGCCCGGCTTTTCGAGCGCCCCCCCCACAGATCCCTCGGGCAACGATCAGGACGGGGCTTTGGCGGCGCGCCGTGGGGACGGTCCTCCTGCACCTCATCCTCCTCGCCTCCGCCTACAGGAGGGCGTTCCTCCTCAGGAGGGGGACCAGCATGTTTATGGAGGTGGAGGAGGAGTCCTCATCGTCGTCATCATCATCATCATCATCAGCATCATCATCATCATCATCATCATCATCATCACCACCACCACCACCACCACCACCACCACCACCACCACCACCATCATCATCATCATCAGCAGCAGCAGCAGCAGCAGCAGCAGCAGCAGCATCATCATCATCATCATCATCATCATCATCATCATCATCATCATCATCATCATCATCATCATCATCATCATCAGCGTCATCATCATCACCACCATCAGCATCCTCATTAACATCAGCATCATCATAATATGCATCATCATCAGCATCATTATTATTATCATCAGCATCAGCACCATCATATCTCTTTAGGCATGCTGCGTGGCACTCCTCCACCCCGAATGTCAGCCTCGCCCTCACCCTCCCTAGGGGAGCGCCGAGGGCCATCGCTCCATGGTCCTCCTCCTCCTCCTCCTCCTCCTGCTCCTCCTCCTCCTCCTCTCCATGATCCCCCTCGCCCTCCTCCTGACCCTCGGCACCCTTCTCATGATTCGCCTCCTCGTGGACTGAGGACTGAGGATCCGAGGTTTTGGGGGCCCTCTCGTCCTCGTGGTCGTCGGCCTCCTCCTCCTCCTCCTCCTCCTCCTCCTCCTCCTCCTCCTCCTCCTCCTCCATTCCTTCTCCTTCCGTATGCAAAGACTCCTCCCTGTCGCACCCCAGAGGAAAATCGGAGGGCTATCCGGGCGTTTCGTCTGAGACCTTTTTTATAACGATCCTGAAGCTTAAGATATTCCAATGCTTCACGGATGGAAGGCGCATGGTTTTCAATATGTGGCTCTCGCCTTAACGCCGCGCGCACCGGTCTTAAAGAGTGTATGAGCTTCGCGGGAGGAGGGCGGGTCGTTTTCAGCGTGTGGCCCTCGCTTCAGCACAGCTCACATTCGTCATAAAGCAGTGCAGGAATCTCACGGATCGAGAGCGGCGCCGTTTCAAAATGTGCCTCTCGCCATAGCATCGCGCACATTAGTCATGAGAGTTTACACAGATGCTTCAAGGGTTCCCATGGTTTGCGTTGCAGACGTGGAGTTTTGGCACGATGTCGGACTGTCAGGGCGCATCAATTAGGCTGGGTCGTGGTGCTGCAGTTCCAGGAATGGTGTTCCGCCACGATTCACGATCGTCAAGACGCAGCAGTAGCGGTGAAATGCGGCGTTAAGTCCTAGGCATGGTGTCCTGGCGAAGTTCAGGATTCTTCAACACTTGCGTTCCAACGGAATTCTTCCTTCAGTACAAATGATCTCTTGTAAGGAGAGGTGGAAAGGGAGCTTGGAGGGAGTGTTTATTGCAACATCGTTGCTGAGTCTCGGGTTTGCACTGGTCCTCCTCCTCCTCCACACCTGGCTTGGCACCGCGCCATGGGGGCGGGGCGATGCATGCGGCCACCCCAAGAAAGCAACGTCCTTCCTAGAAGGGAGCGGAAACGTGCTGCAGGGCTTCTCATAACCCACAACCTTCATCAAACCACAACCTTCATAAAAAAAACCTAACCGCTCCCGTGCCACCCCTCGTGATAGGCGGTCGGGGGATTTGTGCGAAGAAGATGGGGAGGATGGCGCCGTCAGGCGGATGAGGAGGATGAAGGTGACGACGAGGAGAACGATGGCGGAGGAGAAGGAGGAGGAAGAACAAGAAGACGAGAGGGGAGGAGGGACTAGGAGGAAGAGGATGATGATGAGGATGAGGAGGAGGAGGAGAAAGGGTAGAACATTATGGATGACAGCGAGGAGGCTGGCAACGACGAGGAACAGAAAACTCAAAAGCGCGAGAGACACTGCGCAGCCTTCCCCTCGGGCAGGGAAAAGGCGGAGCTTGGGAGGCAGGGGCGGCCGCGGTGGGGGGGGGCGTGGACCCGCAGGTTGGGACTGGCTGGCTCGTTCTGCCTCCTCCTCCTCCTCCTCCTCCTGCTCCTCCTCCTCCTGCTCCTCCTCCTCCTCCTCCTCCTCCTGCTCCTCCTCCTCCTCCTCCTGCTCCTCCTCCTCCTCCTCCTCCTCCTCCTCCGCGTCGGCTGGGCACCCCCGAACCCCCCCCCCCTGAACATTAGTTAAGGGAACGACATGCTGCGATGAACCAAACCTTGAGGGATGAAATAATTGCCCCGACCCTGGGTTACGAGTGCGTGGTCTGTAAACCTCCTGGGGGAACTCCCAAAGGCCAGGGAGCCGCTAGGACGCCGCGCCAAACGCAGCGTTTACCCTGTCAGACCACAGGAGGTTCAGCGCACAACGCATCGTAAACCAGGGTAGGGACGTTTTTTAAGCCCTTGGAAACAAGGACCCGTAACCCTTTGGGAGAGGACTCCAGCTAAGAGGGCCGAAAACATCAAGGATAGAAAGGGGGGCCGTCTCTGCAGATGTGCCGAGCCAAACCGCCAAGAGTGAGTGTCCGTGGTGCGAAAGCGGGGACCCCAGTGAAAGCAGCGTATTCATCGCGTTCCTAGGGTGAGGGGTTCTTCTGCCCTCGATGGAACAATAGGCACGATGCCCCAAAAACAACCGTTGCCCAAATCCGACACCGGCCGCCGACGGGCAGGCGACATCCTGTCCCAAGTGGACAACGCCAGCGGCGCGGCGGCACCGACAGCTAATCCTGTTCAACATGAGCCAGAAACATCCGTCGGCCTCTTTTTCCTCTCGAATTCCCGAACCTAGTTCGTTCGTGCCGAGCCGTCGCACGATGACGACGGTAACGAGCCGGGAAATGGCCCGCGTTCGAGTCGATCCGCGTTTGCACCAAAACCGGTCGGACCCGGCGACGCGTCGACAGGACGCCCCGGAATTCCGAACACCCCTCGCGTGGCGAGCCCGGTGGTGGCCACCGATCGAAGCTATCCGCTTTCATCACCCTGGGCGATCGGCCCTCGCCGACACCGCCGCCGACGACGACGGGGGCGGCACACGCGCCTCGGGGACCGCCGCGCGGGTCGAAAGGGCCCGGCCCGTCGTCGGCGGCACTGGCCGCCGTGGGCGCTGCTGCCCGACCCGACCGATCGGCGGTTCAGGAACGAGTCACTGGTGGAGTGGGCACTGAGTTCGAAGAGCCAGCAAAAGCATATATCTATACATATATATATATATATATATATATATCGGAAATTGGGGGGTGAGATCGCAGTGTAACGGGGTCCCCCCACCGGGAAATCGAGTTTCGAGTTCGTGCTCGTGCCGTGCGTGCGGGCGAGGCGAAGCTGCGTGGGCCAGCGAGAGGAATTCACCCTGCTGTCGCTAGGGGTCCACCAACACAAATGTTTTCCCCCCCCCCCGGTATTGTCAAGCGGTGGCCCGCATTGTCCCGTCGGTTGCCCGCGGGTTGCTCGTCATGGTTGCTCATCATGGTTGCTCATCATGGTTGCTCTTCATTGTCCCGCCGGTTGCTCATCATGGTTGCTCATCATTGTCCCGCCGGTTGCTCATCATGGTTGCTCATCATTGTCCCGCCGGTTGCTCATCATGGTTGCTCATCATGGTTGCTCATCACTGTCCCGCCGGCATACCGAACGACACAAGTCGCACAAGCGAAGGAACAAAAAAAATCCGCCACGTCATCCACACCATCATCGCCCATCATCACCACGTTCAACACAGTTGTCGTCATGAGCCACCCCCCTCCCCCCACCCCCCCCCCACAACCTCCTTATCACCCGCAGGGTGGTCGTATAGGTATGTATACATATACATGGGTCCTGGCCTATTCTCCCCCTGATGAGATCGACAATTATTTTTGGGGAAGGACTTCTGTCCACCTACAACGCTCCAGGACGATTTGGGGGTCGTGGTTCACTTGTTTGGGGGTGCTGTTGTGCTTTGCTGTTTGAGAGTTCCATTGTGCTCTTCTCTCTCTCTCTCTCGTGTCCTCGTCCTCTTCCTCGTCATCCTCGTCCTCGTCCTCGTCGTCGCGTGGGCGAGATACACATGCATTCCGTATGTTGGCGGTGGGAAGCACCACAAACTGTGGGAAAACCCATTGGGAACACCCCCCAAAAAAGAAACGGAAGTGCTGGAAACGAACAGTTCGGGAAAACCATTGAAAACAATCTCTATATATACATACATATATATATATATACATATGTATATACATACATGTATATATATATATATATATATTCCAGGGAACACCGTCCGAGGGTATAGGCCCGAAGGGAACCCCCGCAGTCTCTGTGGAACGATTGGTTTGGTGTCTCCCATGGTTTTCCTGCAGTTTTCGCTTCCAGCACTTCAGTGGCTTAGTTTGTTTTGATGGTGTCCAATGGTTATCGTGAAGCTCTTGCATTACTTCAGAAGGGGGGGGGAGGGGGAGGAGGAGGAGGAAGGGCAGGACGAGGAGGAGGAGGAGGCGGAAGAGGAGGAGGCGAAGGACGGAGGAGGGAGGATACGTTTTTGGTGCCCAAGCCAGATGCAGGGACTTCCCATTACATTTGCTGGGAAGATTGGTCTCATCCATCATCGCTCGATCCACCACTCTTCCCAACAAATAAAATGTGAAGTCCCTGCACCTTGCTTGGACACCAAAATATGTCCTACCTCCTCCTTCCTCCGCCTCCTCCTCTTCCGCCTCCTCCTCCTCCTCTTCCTCCTCCTCGTCCTACCCTTCCTCCTACTTCTCCTCCCCCTCCCCCCCCCTTCTGAACGAATGCAAGAACTGCGGGAAAACCGTTGAACAAAAAAGCAACAAAAAAACTGAAGTACTGGAAGCAAAAACTTGTGGGACAACCATTGGAGAAACCCAACGCCTCCTCCCCCCCCAAAAAGTAACAAAAAACAAAGGTTCCACAGAGACTGTGGGGTTTCCCTTCGGGCTTATCCCTTCGGACGGTGTTCCCTGGATGTTTTTTTTGGTTTGTTCAATGGTATTCCTAAATAGTGTGGTGTTTCCCACCACTAACATACGGAATGCATGTGTATCTCGCCCACACGACGTCGAGGACGACGAGGACGAGGATGACGAGGAAGAGGACGAGAACCCGAGAGAGAAAGAGAGAGCACAAGGAAACGCTGAAAGAGCAAAACACAACAGCAAAGCACAACAGCACCCCCAAACAAATGAACCACAACCCCCGAATCGTCCTGAAGCGTTTTACGTGGACGGGAGTCCCTCCAAACAAAAACTGAGATTTCAGAAGGGGGGAATAGTCCAACGCCCACAAATATATATATATATATACACACATACGTACACAAAGCTTCACCATCGCAATGTGCCGACTAGTTCTGGTCCACTATGTGGTGCAATATACGTGGTGCAATCCACGTGGTGCAATCAATATGGCTCAATTGACATTGACCTCCTCGCGTGTGACCACCTCCCACGTTCGCGCAAACATTCCACCCACTCACCCGCAACTTGGTTGGCAAAGTGCGTCGCTGCGGCCGCGCTAGCGCGCGCAGGCTCGCGCGCACGACCGACTCGGCCGTGTTGGCGCTGACCGCCGGAACCTTCCCAACGCGTCTCGCACGCCGCGCTGAGGCGCGGGCACAACCGTGAGAGTCGGTGACTCGGGCGGGCGCAGTATCACGGCGACGTCGACACCCGCAAACGGGAGGATGATAGTACCGATGCTGGCGACGATGATGACAATTACGACGGCAAGAGCAATGATGGCGCCGATGTTGATCAGGCCGGTGACGATGATGGTGCCCACGCGTCGGTAATGAAGGTCTTGGGATCAATTCCGAATTGCGCGTGTGGTCGATGCGAGCGAGTGGCCCGCATGCTTATGTGGCAGAGATCGTGCCCCTTCCAGCATGTGCGCAAGGGGCGTCCGGCATGCGCGCGAAAGGCACGCTTGGTAGCATTTGATGAAAATGTTGAACAACCTCTGGTCTTCTTTGGGATACGCAAGAGCGCGAAGGCAGACTCGTTGGACAACTCCTGTTGCGCAACCGTTGGTTTAGGGTATGTGTCGGGGCGCTCGATTTCGAAATCCTTACGACATCTGATGTTTTGGACACATGTCAGCATGCGCGCGAGGCGACGCATTTAGGGATGTGCGCGCGACAACGCGCGAGTGTAGACTTCCGCCCATCTCTTGCCAGGGGCTCTTGGGGAACATGCCAGAATATAACAAGATGTACGCGCATGATATGCGGTGCAAAGGATGAAGGTCTGGCTGGGATGTTACGCGCTCAGATTTCGAATGCACGATGGGGAGACATGATTTGTAAAGTGCACATCCCAACAGTCTCGGGAAGATGCCATCCCAAGTTTATCATGTGCAATATATGCGGTACAATCTCCATGCTGCAATCTATGTAGTGCAACCTGTGTGGTGCAATCTACATGGTGCAATCTACGTAATGCAATTTACATGGTGCCTTTCATTTTTTCAATTGACAACTCCAGTGTTCGCGCTTTCGCTTCACCCACCCACCCACCCACCAGCAACTTGTTTTGCAAAACCCATGCGGCGGCGATTGTGACGGCTGCTCGGCGCTGGCTGACGCATCGCTGCGGCCGCGCTAGCACGCGCAGCCTCGCGCGCACAGTGGCCAATTAATATGGTGCCACCGATGCGCCCGCGGTGGCGCTGATGCGCGGGCACTCCCGTGCGAGCTGGTGACTCGAATCGGCGCGGGATCCTGGCGACGTCGGCGCTGGCAGACGGGAGGATGATAGCAGCCCTGCTGGTGACGACGATGACGATGACGACGGCAACGGTAATGACGGCGCCGACGCTGATCACGCCAACGATGTTGACAGTGTCCACGTGTCGGTGGTGAAGGACTTGGGAGGATTCCGACTTGCGCTCGCGCCCGAGGCCTACATGGTATTACTTGGCAAGGTTCGTGCCCCCCCAGCACGTGCGAAAAGGCGTTCGAATGATTTAGACATGCGCGCGCGAGAAGCATGTTTGGTCGTATGTGAGGAACGCCGCATAAGCTATGGTTCTCTCAAAGACTCGCAGAAAAGCGCGCACACATGTTTTGAAACATCATGTGGCACGCGCGCGCGACATTCGCGCGTGTGCACTTCGTCCCATTGTTCTGCAAACGATTATTGCAAACTGATTCACTCTTTAATGAACAATTGTGCAAGCATGATATCATTTACCGGCGATGATCGGAGAGAAAGAGCCCACTTTAGCGGTGATGATTTGTGTTCAGATTTCGAACGAAGGATGGGGCGCCATCGTATGTAAATGGCACATCCCCCTGGAGCACGGATAATTCGGGGAGGAGAGCCTCACTCCCTTTCAAGGCGGATAATCTATGCGATGCAAGCTGAAGGGCGAACTGGGTAGTCCGATCCTTTGTGGGCCCCGGAAACGGCAGGGCCGTTTTTTCACCGTTTCCACGGCGACCAAAAACGGCAAAAAAACTGCTCCAGGATTTGAACCGGAGTCGGAACCGGTCAAAAAACGGCGACGGAACCGGTAAAAAAACGGCGTCGGAACCGGAAACAAAAACGGCACAACGGAACCGGTAAAAAAACGGCCCTGTCGTTTCCAGGGCCCACTAAGGTCCGATCTATGTGGTGCAATCTACATTATACAGTGTACGTGGTGCAATCTGCGTGGTGCAGTCTGCTTGGCGACTGGAGGCGACGGGGCGGCGACGGCGGACACAACGCGGCGGGACCAACAGCCAGGCCCAGACGAAGGACGGCGACGAGGCGGCCGCAAGGCGGCGGAACCGACAGTCGGGCCCAGACGACGGGCAGCGACGAGGCGGAGCATCCAGAAAAACAAACACTACTTAGGGAACGAACAAGCTTTCGGAGTTCCGCTCGGATTTCTTGCATCGGCGCTGGACCCACTGGCGGCGCCTCCAGCGCCGCCCCTTGCGCGCTCCGCGGGCAGTGGACGGTAGTCCAGAGCCGATCCAGGAACTCCGCGCGAGCCTCTGGCAATTTATGGTTGCTGTGAACGGTTTCTTGTTCGGCGTTTTTCGACAGTGGGCAGAAGGGGGGGGTTCTGGCTCCGGACCTCTGCTTCATGCGAGTGTTGGCAACAGTGCGTCCTAAGGGGGGGGGACCCCGTCCGCTCGAAACAAGCGCCAAAGCAGCCACAAGCTACTCCGTCGGGACGGGGGGGGGGGATGAGGGGGGGGGGGTGCGAGGGCCCGCGCCGATCGGCAAGACAACGAGTAAGGAAACGATCACTATGCCCTGCTTCGTTTCGCGAGGAAGGCAGGGAAGGAATCCCGACCTGAGCCCTCGCAGTTCGAGGCTGCTCGTCCGGCAGGGCCCCGTCCGTCGGGGACACCCTTCTCTGAGCCGCCGAGGCGCAGCGGGGTGCCCGTCGCCTGGAACGGCTGCGGCGGGCTGCGGCGGCAGCAGGGACGAGGGTCGAGCATCAGCGATCGGGCTGCGGGGACGTGATTGTCCTTCTCTGGAGTCTGGATAACCATCGCGGTTCCAGCGTCAAGGATCGAGATGCAGCGGCACCCACGACGTTGTCGTCGTCGTCGTCGTCGTCGTCGTCGTCGTCGAAGCTATTCGAATGGTATCGGGCGTTAGTGGAATGTCATAGATGCCCTCTGAGTTTTTCGGAGGCTCCTAGAGGCTCGTCGACGCCGTTGACGTCGCCCTCATCGTCGAAGAAGACCGATGCTCGAGAAGCGGACTCGAGGTTCACGGGTCAGCGTACTGATGCGTTGCGGCTCTCGTGGGACCTCCTGGGCGCTCTCGTCGCCGCGAATGGCCTTCTATCGAGTTTATGGCAGAAGCGCACCTTGCGACGGGTCAAAGCGTTATGTTGCTCCCAT